GCCACGTGATCCTGGAAGTGAATGGGCTGACGCTCCGGGGCAAGGAGCACCGGGAGGCTGCCAGGGTCATCGCCGAGGCCTTCAAGACCAAGGACCGCGACTACATCGACTTCCTGGTCACTGAGTTCAACGTGATGCTCTAGGGGCTGGGGCCCCGGGCCTCCCACCACTGTGTAGCTCCTGGTCCCCGTCCTTCCCCTGCCCTAGCTCTCAGTCTCTCTGAGGGGTTGGGGCTGGATGGCCAGGGTTGCAGGAAGGCAGCCCCCACTCTGTCCTGATCCACTGGACCAGAATTGGGAGGAAAAGAGAGCTAGGCAAGGCCAACAGGTTGGGCCAGAATCCATTGCTCTGCTGTCCCCAGCCAGGCAGGACCCAGCCTGGCCCCAGATACCTGAGCCTTTGCCTGCAGTGAGGTCACAGGAGAATCTGAGGCTCAGTTTCCTGCTAGGGGGCATCCAGCAGGACCTTCAGTGCCACAAATAAGCATCGAGCCGCCCTGCCCCCACCCCAGGTCCTCCTGCTCCTTAAATTCATAGTATTTATTATTTATTTCCCTGCCCCGCACTGCGCACTGCGGGGACCCCAAGGCTCCAGCTTCCCGCCACACCCCCAGCCTGTCCCAGAGGCCTTGCGGGCGACCAACAATGTTGGTGTATTTATATACAGAGCTTATGACTTTAATTTTTCAATAAAGAAATCTGAACCAGGTTGGGGCCAGCGTGCTGTGTGGCCTGCCAGTATGGCTGGGTTTTCGATGGCTCTGTGTGGGGAGAGGGGAGCGGTGGGTAGGATAGATGGGGGCACCCAGAGCATCACACATCACTGCCCTGGAACTCTGCACCCCACACTCAGCTGGGGCTACCCAGCCAGAGGGCAGGGGCGCTTGAGTCTCACCTGCACCTCAGAGCACCTCATTTGAAGGTCTGATGATAAAACATGTCTGTACAGATCATGTTTTTAGACAAAATCACACAGGCCTGTTAAGGCGCAGAACACGAGTCATAAAATGCAGGTCTCAGGTGGGCTCCCGGAAGTGACTCATTAAGTGCTTCCGGGGAGGGGAAGGGAGTAGGCAGGAAAGAAGAGAAGTCAAGTACTGCAGGACTTCAGGCAAAGTCTTCAGGGGGCACTGCCAGCCTCTGCATAGGGACCTGGAGTCCAGGGAGACAAAGTTGTCTCCATTCAAAGGCAGGGCCGGGCTCAGGGCCTGAAGGTACCTGGGTGAGACCTGTGGGGCGACCGTGGTTCCTAGTCTCCTTCTGCCTTCATAGTCCAGCTGTCTCTGAAGCCAGGCCCATGGGTGCCAGAAGCAGCTCAGAGAGAGGGCAAGGGAGGAGGAGAAGGTCTGCTGTACAGCCTCAGGGCCTCAAGATCCATCTGGTGGGCAAAGGGTCTGAGAAGTCCCGCTTTGCCCACCTCTGTGCAGGGCTCTGCCAAAGGCAACTGACGGGGAGTGAGCGCCATGGTCTGCTTCAAGATATTAGCTGCTGAAGGGTTAACAACCTAAGTTTGCAGTCCAAAATTAGAGAAAAAGGAGGGCCGCAAGGAAAGCCAACATTTTGGCCCTAGGCTTCCAAGGTCAATTAAGACTCAGGACATATGAGAACTTGTACTGTAATGTCATGTAACTCGGTAGTGTCCCAAATTTTCTGATCAGGGAGATTATGGGGCCAAAGAGGAAAGTGATCGATGATGTAGAGTGTGCCTAAGGAGAGTCACATGGAGAGAAAGCATTCTCTCAGCCATTCACAGAAAGCACATTGGCCAAGCAATGGCTGTGACTCATCCACATGGCTGACACTGACAAAGGATCTACAATCTGAAGTACAGGATCTCAGGATAAATCCTGAGGGGATTTCACTGACCTTCTCAGACCAAAAAGCTACAACTCTTGTTGCATAGGTCTTGCTTTATCTTGTTCTTAACCATCCAGCAGAAAAGTATAAAAACAAAATATAAGAAGTAAAGCCATGCTGTTATGTTGAGCTGTAGGGGACTCAGGTCAACAATTTCTGACATTGCCAGTGAAGCAGAAGACCCAATACTATTACGGACTGCTGGACTCTTTTAGAATATTTTGCTGAGTTAACACACCTATAATATTCAAATGACGGAACTAAACAAAAAAGGGGATACAGATAAATGTCCATTTTGTATCTGTGTATTCAAAATGGTTAGGATAGATATATAGTGGTGTATTCTCTTAATGAATAGAGGGATTTGTTCTAATAGTGTTTGTAAATAGGATATCATGTCCGCATCTTGTACAGCAATTAACCACTAGGAAGAATGTATGCAATGTGTTAATTATTGAAACTGTCATACCAATGTGAAAAAAAAAAAAAGATATTAGCTGTCCCTGTTCCCTTCTGGCCCAGGTACACTGCCTGAGCCAGAGTCATGACTTCCCCAGAGGCAGCTGGGGTCCTGGAAGCCCCAGTCCTTCTCAAAGGGTTGTCTGCTCCTCCTTCCCCAGATCCTCAGGGTCTTCATGCTATGAGGACTGATGACCCCGTCCCTGCCACAGGGGGTGTCCTTGGGCCTCCAGTTCCAGTCTTGTGTGGTCCTGGGCAGGTGATTTCATCTCAGATCAAAGCCCCTCTGTAAAATGCATACGATGGCTGAATAATAGGCCCCCCACATAACTCGATTCCCTCTGTCAGTTACCTTACATGGCAAAAGAGAGCTGCGAATGTAGAGCAGCTGAAGTCCTGGGATGAGGAAATGATGCTGGATTCCCCACACAGGCCCACTGGGATCAAGGGGCTGACAGCTGGGTGTGGTGGCACTTGCCTGTCCTCCTAGAACTCAGGGAGGCTGAAGCAGGCAGATTGAAATAGTCAGAGCCCAGGTGGCTTAGCAAGGCCTGTCTCAAAATTGAATAAATAAATAAATCAGGATTAAAGGTCTGGGCTCAGTACAAAGACCTGGATTCTATCCCTGCCACCCCCTACGTCCCCAAGAAAGGGAGGCAGAGAAAAATTTGTCACAAGGCAGGGAATGGGATGGTGCTGATGGCAGCAGTGTTGGCAGGTTAGACTCTGAGGACAGAGGGAGGGCTGGTCAGCCAAGAAATTCAGGTGTTCACAACCAGAAACTATAGAAAGGCCAGCACATGGCTCCCGGGTCACCCTGGGGAATGATTCTGAATGTGACCATGATGACAGAAAGGGCTGCCTGGCCTTGGGAATGCTACACCGTTTTCTTTTCCTGTTCATTCTGAAACAGAACTTTAATGCTGTTCCTGCTGTGGCTGTCACTAACCCATGTTCTGGGTAGATTGTGATGTCTTGTCTGGAATAAAACTTCTTGCAGGCCCCAGGGCACTTACTGCCCCAGGGCCATCTGTCTGCCCTGTGGGAGAGTAGGACAAGACTGACTTTCAGGAACTGTTATTTCTCGAAGTCCCAGCTGTGACTGGTGTTGTAGTCCACGGGTGTAGAGGTCCCTTCACAGTGCGATGTAAAACCCAAAAAGTTCCTCTGGAAGTGGGCTTTGGAAGGTCAAGTTGCTTGTCCTGAGTCATACAGTTTAGGAGGGACAAATTGGCACCTACAGCTGCTGAGGCTGTGCCCAGCTTTTCCATCAGGCAATGCCCCAGGACAAATACCTGTCCCTGCATCTTTGAAGGAACCCATGCGGTGGGCGTGAGGGTGTCAGAGGTCCATCTCGACCCTGAAATCTCTCTTCATGATAGCAGTGTGGGGACAGGACATCTGGAGTCTTGGTCCTCTCCACCCTGGCTGGAGAACCCTGAGCAGGCTGAACCTCAGTTTCCCTTTGGTCCCAGTATCTTTCAGACAGGACTGGCCTGCTACTCACCTCCAGGGACACAGCTCTCTTTGATGGCAGCCTTAGCACACCAGCCATCCTGCCCTGACACCAGGAGCCAGGAGCTTGCCAGAGGAGAGTGCAGGCAGAGGGCAAGCTCGGGGCTCCTGAGGTAAGAGTGAATGCCAAGTTGGTTCATAGATCACCTATGCTGCTTGGGAGAAGTGGGTGATGGGTTAAGTGGCCGGGATGGAGACAGGACAAGCACTGAGAAGAAGCCAAAGCTCAGTGTCCTGGGGTCTCTATGGTTTCTGGCCCGTGTAACCTTCAGCAGGTCATCTAACCTCTCTGAGCATGTTTGCCTATCTTTAAACGTAGAACACAACATTGACCTAATTTGCAGGGCATTGTAAGAATGAGCAGAAAGTTCCAACCAGCACAGAGTGGGCCTTCAGCCACGAGAAGCTGCTGCTGTCAAAGCTGCCCACCGGGTTTGTTGGGACTGAGGACCCAGCAGCTCAGGGCACAGGAGAGCTTCCTGCCAGGACAGAGACACAGCTGATGGGCACCTCCGGCCAGTCGCTTCCTGCTTAGCGCTCACTGGCCGCCCTGAGCATCACGGCTGGCTAAGCGCTCATGACATTAGTTCCACTGATGTATTTCTTTTGGCTTCCGCAAACCAGGGGGCAGGGCACTTTTCAGTCCCTGCTTCACCTTGGACAGACTCCTGTCCCTCTCAGGTCTGGGTTTCCAGGCTTGTATCAAGGAGCCTAGGACTAGAACGCAATCGAGGCGGGGGAGAGGGGTGACATCCCGCTTGGGCTCAGGGGAGGACTGAAATCGTACCACCTTGCCACGGGGCAGACACCTACCGCTCTCAGGACAAGTACGCTGTCCTGTTTCCACGCCATTCATTTCGGTGGTAAAAGTTTGTAATTTCTTTCTCACAGTGGCTCTGTGAGCCCTTGCACAAACATCTTACCCTCCGGGCCTCGGTCTCCCATGAGGGGCAGGACGGACTGACCCCAGGAGGAAGACGCAGCCAAGATTTGAGGTTTTCAGTCCTGGAACTGGGGATCCCGCTCTCCCGCTTCCTAGTCGCGGGGGGCGGGGCGCAGGCAGCCGCCTCGCTACGAGTGGTTGAGCTTCCCCGAGGACCCGCCCCCCGGAGCCACCCCGGGCGTCCGGAGTCCTCCTCGGGTATTATACAAAGCAGCCGCCGCCCCACCCCGCGCTCCGATTGGTGGACTTTGTGGTGCCACTCAACGCCAGGAAACCACTAGCCCGCCTCTGCCAGCAGGTGAGGCGGGAAGGGTCTCCTGGGGGTCGGGGGCCCCCGCGGGGCTCGGTTTTTCAATCCGGAGAATGGGAGGGGAGATCGGATAGCACTGCTGGGCTCCGCTCCCCTGGGACAGCGCTGTTTTGGGTCTCTCCCACGTGCAGAGTCCACGCACGCAGATAGGAGACAGACTGAGGCTCCGGGAAAGGAGGGGAGCCCGGAACCTGCGATAAGGGCGCGGGTCCAGACCCCACCAGTCGCGGGTCCAGACCCCACCAGTCGTGGGGTGCCCGGTGTCCGCCCCCCCCTCAGTCTCCACCTCCGCGGAAAGGGGGCGTCGGCTCTTTCCTCATTCCAGCTGGGACTAGTCGCAGGGAAAGTAGGGGTCCCGTGGGAGCCGGGGGTGGTCCTTGGCGGGCAGCTGGCTGTGTTTGGACTAGAGGCGTGGCGCACGTTGCTGCGGTGACTGGGGAGGTGGGGCCTTTTCAGTGCTGGGATTTGTGTGCGATTTGTTCACCCGGCAACAATCTGCGCAGCCTGGCAGCCCCGAGCCGCGCGCCCTCCCCGGACACCGAACGCAAGTTTCTTTTCCTCTTTTTTGGCGAAGGGGAGGGAGGTAGACAGAGGCCACCGTGGGGTGGGCAACCTCGGCAGTGGTAGGAACCGGAAAGAGTTGCAAAATTGAGGCAACTTTCCTCTTGGTACACAGAAGACAGGCCCAGAGAGGCGGCGCGGCTTAGCCAAGGGCGCACCGCAGGGAGGCGCAGAGCTGGTATCTCCCCGGCGTGACGGGGTGGCACTGGCAGCCACAGCGCTTGCCTGCCGTGTAACCTTGGATGAGACTCCTCAGGGCTCCTCTACCAGGCTTTAGCTGAAAGAAAGTGACAGCTCAGAGAAGATCATTATCTCTTTAAAAACCTCCTACTTCTAAGTGAGGCAGTTGGAAAGGAAAGTTGCTGATAACAGTCCCCAGCTATTTTAGAGCCCAGCAAGAAGCTGGGGCAGGCTGCGGCAAAAAGCCACTTTGTTTCTGTCCTCCAGAACAGAAGAAGAAAAGGGCTGACACTGAAGCATGAGGGGTTAAGGTTAGACACACACAGGGACTTCCCAAAAGTTTTCCGCAGAAGCCCGCTCTTAAGAGTTGTGGGTTTAAGTCTTGGCTGTTTAGTTAGAAAGAACAGCTGCTCCTAGGTTTGAGGGGGGATAAGCTTGGTTTACTTACTGACAGCAAGCAGTGGAGAACCTGTGGTCTTTTGGGGACAGTCTGGGTTCATTCCAGCAGTCTCCATTCTTCCAGGAGGGAGAAGGTGCCCACGTGGGGCCTTAGCCTCCCCAGGCCAGCTGGTTTGCATTTGCAGCATGTGATCACTGGGTGCTTCTTGCAGGGGGATTTCATCAGCTCCCCTCTCCAGCAGGCTCCACCAGGGTGTCCAGATTGAAAGACCGCATGGTCAGGGGCTCCAGGAACTCTGGGCCAGCTACTGCGGAGGGGTGGGGGTGGGGGGAAGGGAGGGTGGAAACCGGTACACCGTATCCCAGTGCGCCTCTGTGAGGGGGAGGGGCAGGACTAAGCCTCCATTTGGCCAGCTGCGTGTCAGGTCCTCCTGACACTTCCTTGGTCTCCTGGAGGTAGGATGGATCTGGAGTCTCAGTGGGAAGGAGCCCGGGCCTGGCTTCAGGTCTGAGTGCCTCGGTTTTCCTATCTGTCACATGGGCGTGGCAGTGCTAGATGTCATCATAGAAAGCCACTCAGCCACATTCTAAATTTAGAGATGGGAAAACAGAGGGCCAGAGAAGGAAAGGATGACAACAGCAACAGTGACAGTGATAATTCCATGATAGCAAGAGCTGAGCTTTATGGAGTGCTGACCCCCAGCCCCTGGGGCAGAGGCCTTACTGCAAGATGTGCAGTTCAGGACAGCAAGAGCTCCTACCTGCCCTGTCACTCCTGTCCTCCCCAGCACCTGGAACAGAGCTTTATTAGATTCCATCACTCGGTTTCATGATATAGTCCATGAGATGGACATTATTGTTGGCTCCGTCTTACAGATGACAAGCCTGAGGTTCAGAGAGATTATGTCATTTTTCTGAAGTCACAAAGCTCTTCAGTGGTATTTCCTAGTCCTTACTCTGGGACACACAGAAGCAGGAGAGTTGATGGTGCCCATCCCTCCCCGGTATGTTTTGTGCAGCCTGTGTGGTGTGGCAGCCCTGACTTGGGACGAGCTGCCAGGTGCCGGAGTTCCAGGCCAAAAGGTCTGGTCCTTCAGCCCCAAGGCTGTGAGATGGTGAAGACCGGGTGGAAGAGGGTGACCACCGAGGCCAGGCCCACCAGGTGGAGGCACAGGGCAGCCCTGGCCCTGAGCTGGCCTGTGTGCTGAACTCCCTCACTGGAGGCTCGCAGGGCCCCACCTCCAAGATGATGCTCTGGGGGATTCCAAAGCAAACTTCCAAAGTCTGATCTGCCAGCTGGGACCTGGGCCCCAGCCCAAAGCCCCACATTTCAGGCTCACCCTATTCTACACAGCTGCAGTCCTGCTTGGGTGCTGTCTCCTCTGGCTATCTCCAGCCACGCTCCAGCTGCACAAGGCAGAACCCCTGCTCTTCGGGCTGTTCCCACAGATGACACCCCCCCCCATCGTTACTCTGGTAACCTGCTGAGCCCGTTCTTTGGATGAGGCCAAGATCAAGGCCAATGTGACAGCTGAGCCAGCCTCCTGGGGTCCCAGCCAAGGCCAGGGATTGGGCAGACGTTCTAGGACTGGGCTGCTCAGGCTTATTTGTGGGTGCAGACCCAGCCCTTCTCCTAAAGCACCTGTGACTTCAGACAGGTTGTCTGACCTCTCCCAGCCTTTGCTTCTCTGCTAAATGCCTGGTTATTTACGAGAATCTGAGTCGACAGCCAGCACAGACCTTTCTCCTGGGTGCTGGCAGGGGCCACGGCTGGGCCTGCTCGCCCCCTTTCCTTTGAGCGAGTTTGACATTTGCAGAATGGCTATCTGTGCGGCAAAAAATACTCAGCACTGGAACTTACTGTGAGGGGTGAGGTGGAGGTCCCAGAAGGTCGCAGGTGTCAGAGCAGCAGAGGCTCCCAAAGAGCTTGACCACTCTTCCCAGGGGCACAGGGGGGGCACTGAGGGGGACCTGTTCCATCTCACTAGAGAAGGAGGCCCTGCACAAATGTGTGTGTGTGTGTGTGTGTGTGTGTGTGTGTGTGTTCAAATGGAAAAAAAATACTCATTTGATGCTTATTTATTTATATGTATTTAGTACAGGGTCTCACTACGCAGCAGCTTGGACTCATAGTGATACTCCTATTTTCAGCCTCCCCAGCACTGGGATTACAGGCGTGTGTCACCACCCTCAGTCTCAGTGACAGGCTCAGTGCTCCCCAGGGCAGGGCTGGCCTGGCATGTGATGCCAGGGATTGAACCCTGGTCCCTGCGCTTGCTTAAGCAGGCACTTAATCCACTGAGCTATCTTGCTGGCCTGTTGATGCTTATTTTTAAAGCAACTATTCTCTGTAGAAAATATGCACAAAGAAAAGGGGTAAAAGGATTTATAATTCTACTTAGTAGTAATTATGGTAAACATTTGGGGGCATGTCTCTCTTTTTCTCCTTTCTTTTTCCCCCTTTTCTTTCTATATATTTTTGTTTTGCTTAAACAGACTTTAACCTGATATACATTGTTTGATAACTGGCTTGTTCATTTAACATATCATGATTTTAACAATATATATTTTATTTTTCTATGGCATGGTTGTTGCTAGCTATATACTATTCTTTTGAATAGAAAGATCATAATTAATTTCCATGCTCCCTGTTGTTGGTTATTCCCAGCGTTTTCTCTTACTGGAATCTTCTGTCACATCATGATGAGGATTGTGCCTGCTGGATTTGGACAGCCTGGTTCAAGCCCATTTATAAAGTTTCTATCTCCTTGGATTGCTATGAGGATTGAATACTGAGACCTAACCCATGCAAAGACATTTTTGAGGTATCTGACACATAATAGGTGTGCAATAAAGTTTGGCTTTTAGCCGTACGTTATGAGTGCATACACTTTTTAAAAATCTGTCTTTTGGAAAGAAAATGAGTATGAGAGAGAGAAAGATGAGAAAGACAGAGAGACAGAGAGAGAAAGACAGAAAGACAGAGACAGAGAGAGAGAGAGTTCCCATATGGCCACACTCTTCTTGTAACCCAGGCTCAGTTGGCTACAGTTCATGCCCCTCCCTAACAACTCAGGGTAGGTGGGGACACAGTTTCTAGCCTGTTGGTGGCCCCAGAACTGGCTGGGGAGTCACAGAGAGATGGCAGCATCCCGTGCCCTTGGGTGGGCTGGACTCCCTTTCTGAGTTTGAGACCCAGAGCTTGAGCTTTGCCTGGTACTGGGGACACTCCAAAGTCAAGGAAATTATACTCACGCCTGCAGAGAGTGGGTCCAATCAGCATGGCACGAGGCCCTCAGCCACTATTCATGGGCAGTTGGGCATCGGGTCAAGAACTTTGGGGACATAATCTCATTTTTCATCCCAAGAAACCTGTCAAGTCAATGTCACCCTCATCTGGGGTTCAGAGAAGTTAGCCTACCTGCTCAAGGCCACGCAGCTTCTAAGGGTGATCCTGGAGGTCTCTGTTTGCCTGCAAGGCCCATGTGCCCTGCAGCTGCCTGCTAATATGGCAAGGTTTTATGTTAGAGGTTTTGTGTTAGAGGATGATGTCTGAGAACCCTAGAGGTCCTCTCATAAAACTCCTGGGGCCTAGAGCTCTGAGAAGAGAAGATGTTTGTTCCAGGTCCCCAGGCTGGGCTTTGGGTGTCCATGTCCCAAGCCAGGCTTTCATCCATTGGTCTGACATTCTCGCTGTGTGGGTTTCAACCTCAGGGTAAACTCTGCAACCCCGGGGTGGCTCAGAAGCCTGGTGACCCACCTGTCCTGTCGGGATATTGTGTGGAGAGGTGTCCATGTCAGTGTGGCCACAAGGGCCACATGTGCTGGGCTGCACATGAGGGTTGGAGAGAGTTTGGGCCCTTTCCTATCTTGAGATGAGGGAGAAAGGGGAGGCAGTGGAGAGGCAGGGATGGCGTAGCAGGAGATGGATGGCTAAGAGCCTGAGGCTCAGGGGCAAATAGCTGGAGGCCACTGGACCTTCTTGGGGCTTGGTTTGCCAATCTACACCACGGAATATTACCTCTGTCTCCCCTACTTGCCAAAGCCATTCTTAAACCTCTCTCTAGAGCTATGAAGCAGGAGAAAGGCAGGAGAAAGACCTTTGGAAACACCAAACAGCACCTTGTTATGCAGTCAGTGAGCTTCATGGTGTAGTTAGCTATCCAATCATAGCTCTGCTCTGATTTTATCACGCACAGGCATTAATGACCCACAGGCTGCAGGGCATGAACACAGCTGGGTCCTTAGGCTCTTGGTTCCTGAGCATTTGAATCGCCGCTGGTGCCGCCAGCTCTGTGACCTTCGGCAAATTGCTTGGCATGAAGGGACTCTGTTTGCACAGCTGTAAAATAGGCACCTGACACCAGGCTCACTGGGTTGTTGGAGGGCTGCCGGGAAGGCTAAGGCAGCTAGCTGGGTTTAGTGGGTGAGCCCAGGAGTACTGGCGCTTCTACTGTGTGTCAGCTTTGCTGGACGCAGGGTCCGTGGGGACCAATATGAGACAGATCATCATAGCATAAATCCAAACAGTGAGTCCCCCAGGAGGGCCCACCAGAGCCAGCTCTGCAGGCCACCTGGAACCAACAGGGAGCTGTGGGGCTGGCTGGGAAGAGGAGCAGGGTGTCTGTCCCAAAAACCTGCAAGGTGGCACTGGATTCAGAAGCACACAGGCAAGGGAAGGAGGCTTGAGCAGCAGCAGCATCTCCATTCCCAGGGCAGCAGATAACCACTCACATGCTTTTAGCATGGAGAGGCCACGTATGGAATCGTGTGCTTTGGCCAATCCCACAGATGCTGGATGGGGATGGAATGGGGGAGCTGAGGGCTGCCACAGCAAGGCCCACGAATGGCCAGAGTGACCATGCATTCTGGTTTGTGGGTCCACAGGAAAGGTGCGGGCTTGGAGGGGGCACTGTCGGGAGCTCAGCTTTGTATGTGTTGTTCTGGTTACATGAGCAGGGACACTATCACTGCATGCACAAAGCAGGGAGGAAGGGGGTAAGGAGATGGCATGGAATGCCAGAGGCTGCCCCTAGAAGGGGCTATGGGGTGTGCCCAGCAGCTGTAGCCACCTGGCATTAATGGCAGCACTGCCTGGGTTAATGAAGGGAGGATTGTGAGTGAGTGACAGGATGTCAGAGAAGCCCGCCCCCCTCACAATGGCCCACATGGTCACCAGAGCTGGCAAGGAGGAGCCTCATTAGAGTTTGGCTCTGCTCCATGGTGGAGCCCACCACCCAGATGCACCTAAAGGCAGGGAAGGGGCAGAAGATTTGGGAGATTAGTCCAACGAGGGTGCCAGGCTCTAGCTCTGGCTCAGCCAGAGACTCACAAGCTGATCTTGGGAAATTTCATTCATTCATTCATTCATTCATTCATTCATTCATTCACTCATTCATTCACTGAACACATTCATTTTCCAACCAATGTGCCAGACTCAAAGTCAGGCATTCAGATCCAGTCCTTGGACTGACCAGAGACTTGTTCCCAAGTTGTAGCAATAGGAGAAGCAGCAATGAAACAGCAGCAGAAGAGGCAGCACTTTCCAGGCCCCCTGCCCTGCGTGCTCCGCAGGCTTTGCAGTTGCGGGGAGGGGCCTTGAGCCAGCCCTGCAGGGGGCACTCTTCTTCTTTCCCTTTCGCAGATGAGACACTGAGGCCTAAGGAGGTGAAGCTTCAAACACCCCCAAGCAGCATGAGGTAGGGCTGGGGTGCAGCCCAGACCCCCTTGGGCCCTAAGACTCCTCATTCTGTCCCACACAGGGGCTTCCAGAGCCCAGCAGTACACCAGTGTCCTTGGGAGGGCTCCTAGGCAGTTCAGAGGCCGTTTTGTGCCTTCCATTCATGTATTGTGGCTTTAAATTTTTAGGCCAAGGATGGGGTCACAGTTGAGAGCCAGGTGTCTGAGCCCCTTCCCCTCAGACTCCAGCCCCTGCCTCTTGACCTGGGTGCTGGGCCGAGCTGGTCACAGGGGTCACAGCAGGCAGCTCCCACACGGGGCCCTGCACCTCCCTTCCAGATGCTCAGCGGCCCTGCCTGCCACTGGCTCCCCAAGGCCCTATGCTCCTTCCGGTCCTGTGCTCAGGCTCCTCGCAGACACCTTCCGGGCCCCAAGCCTCTCCAGCCTCTCATTTTCTGTCCTGGTCCCTCCCCAGGCCTGTGTCCCAGCCACCTGGGATGCCTGAAATTGCTGGTACAGGAGACTGAGCCCTCCAGGCCACGTGAGCACCGGACATCAAAGCCACCCAAGACTGCCTAGGCCTCAGAGTCACTCCCTGCACACCTCCCTCCGGAAGTCACACCTGCTGTTCGTTACCGCCCATGACTGCGTGGAGTGAGAGCCAGACTGTCCTGTGCCCTGCCACACAGCAGGAGTATGGTAAGTGAGTGCTCTGCTGAGAGCACCTTGGGAAAAGGTAACTTGGCCAGCAGGGCTCATCTGTCCCTTGACCTCTGGGAGTCCCAGAAGGGAATTTGCACTAGGGGAAAATCAACAAATCAGCCTATTCCTTACCCCATAGTAACTGGAAAATTCCTCCTAGCGTGTAGATTCAAAGAGAGGACAGGGGCTGAGATGACCTGAGTCACTGCAGCCTCCCTGAAATGTGGGGCGCACAGAGGACAGAATCGGAGCTAGAAGGGTGAGAATGGGCTCACACTGTGGAGATGGGCACTGGGGCCTAAGCAGGGAGAGAGTCACAGCCAAGGTCACGTGTGGGTGAAGGGATCCTAGGGACAGGAGCTACAGAAGCATAGGGTGGGAGCTGAGGGTGCAGGGCCCGCCTCCAGGCTCAGCGTGTGGTGGGGCCTGGCCAAGCCGCAGGCCTTCTTTGGGCTGCAGTCTCCCAGTTCACATGGGAGGCTGCAGGGTGAGATCCAGAGCTCCCAGGATCCCCGCCCTGCCCCGCATGCGTGCCCGAAGGGGTTAAGCTGCTGGCTCTGGCTCTGCTTGCTGCTCACCCCCTCCTTCTGACAAACACTTGTAGGAAATCAGGCCGGGCTCTTCCTGCGAGGAGGCAGCGCCTCAGCTGCTCAGGGGCGGGGAGAGGTGGGGAGGATGCTGGTCTTCGAGCCGCAGCTTGGGCTGGCAGAGCTGCCTGGAGGCGGGCCAGGGCGCGATGGAGGCAGGGGGCTCCCCACGTTTGGAACAAAGACCTCACAGGCAGGTCCCCTGAGCCCCGGCCCGCAGGGCGCTGGCCGAGCCAGAGCGAGGTAAGGGAATTGGGGACGCAGGAGGAGGGCCGGGAGGCCGCCTTCCCTTGGGCTGGGCTGGACGCTGGATGGGCCAGTCCCAGGCTCTCCGGACAGCCCAGCCCAGGCAGTCAGACCAGCCTGCCAGGAAGTCACGGAGGCGGCACAGCTGTTACCACTTCTCTACCACTTAGGGGAGCCCCATCCCCAATGAGGGTGGGTTTTAGGGGGATTTTGTCTAACCTTGGGATGCTTGGTTGCAGTTTCAGCTCTGATTCTGTTCTCTGGAGAACTTGGATGGGCAGTGTTCCCTCCTTGCGCCCAGGGTGTGCTCTGTTCATGTAGAGTTAGTGTTGTGGTCGCTAAGGGGACTTGAAGACACAAGGGTGCAGGTCAGGAGGCAGCGCCTCCCCCCACCAAGTGGCCCCTTCCACCGCCTAAGCACAGGGACAAGGAGCAGTATTGGAGGGATGGTCTGAGGACCAGCAGGACAGCTGGGCCCTTTGGGATGGGAGACCAGAGTCTGAAACAACCTGGGCATCTTTTCTTTCTCCTGGGAACAGGGGCACATTCACAGGGGAGGCTGGGGCTTTGGGTCATTAGCTCTGTGTCCTGCCAGGGGTCGGGAGCCTGGCCACTGGCCCAGCCTTTTCGCAGGGCCCCAACATGTGATTGATACAGGAGTCTTTCTTTCCCTTCCTCCTGCCCCTCAAGAGTCTGCCAGCCTCTGTATCTTAAGTTATAGCACCTCAGCTTTGAATCCCTGGGCTGCATCCCCTGGCTGGGAGGCATTGAGGCCCTCTGCCTCGGTTTCCTAGTTTAGAGTACTTGTGGGAGTGGGGGTGGTGGGTAGCCCTGGCTGAATGGGAAGGGGTTCAGACTTCACAGGCAAAGGAGCACCCTGCAGGCCAGGAGGGTCTGAGACGCAGGGCCTCCAGGGAAGGGTCCTGGGCTCTGCGATGGTTGAGGGGCCAGAGAAGCTTCCCACTGAGGGGGTGGCTGGGAGGAGTCGGGCTCACTCAGGAACTGTGAAAAGACCACAGATCTGGGGACCTCAGTCTCCATGCAGTCAGCTTCCTGCTCACATGGCTGGAGCCCTCCCAGACCCCACCTGGGGGCTGCGAAGGCCGAGGGGAGCCTCACTGCCTTTGTCCCGCAGGTGAGGAGCCCAGCCTTAGCTCCCCCGGGAGCTCCCTCCATGGCAGACCCCTGCTTTGCGCATGCTGTTCCCTCTGCCTGGAGCACCCTTCCTCGCTCTTCTCCCCCAAACCCACTTCGCTTCTCAGACCCTGCCTAAGCTGCCTTCTGTGTTGTGCCCCTCCCTGCCATGTGGGTTTCAGAAAGCTTTTTGTTCTTCTATTGCTTGTGTCTTGAATAATCGGAAGAAATCCTCAGGCTCTTCAGAATGTTAATTCGCACCACCCCTCGTGTCTCTCGGGTCCCTGGAAATGTGACCTCAGGTTGAAAGAGGGGCTTGGTCAATGAAGAACCTCAGTGTTCACACAGCACAGGCCGTGCCTTCCACCTGCCCCAGCAGGACCAAAGCCCCAGCAGCAGCAAGGGCAGCAAGGAGACTCTGCACTTAGGGCTTCTTGAGGCAGTGTCAGCCCAGCCACACCCCTGTGGAGCAGCGCACCAGGGCAGAGACCTTGTCTGTCCCAGCTTCATCCCAAGCTGAGGTTGCCATGTGGCTGGCGCTGTGTTTGTTGACCGACTGGCCGACTAGCTGGCCCTGAGCTCCGTGGTGCTGTGGGCTGGGCCTGAATGGGAGACGAAGGGCTTGGCCTGGAAAGGCTCGCAGATTCAGGGCCCTGGGACGCGACCGCCTGGCAGGCTGCATCCAGTGACCTCCGCCACAGACGAGCAGCACCCCTGGTTACAGTGAGATCTCTGCGACTTCTGAGTCATCTCAGAAGACAGGATGTTCCCCTTTGTGCTCACAGAGGCCTCTGTGATTGGGCAGGCTGCTCTGTGGCAGGGCTAGAAAAAGCCCTTTTAAAAGTCAGAAAACCACATGCCCCCCTGCACCCCTGGGCCCCTTCCGCAGTGGCGTTTCACACAGAGAAGCAGAGGCTGCACCTTTAACCCTAGCACCTCCAACAGCTGCTGCAGCGCCAAGCCAAGGCAAGGTCCCTGAGCTGCTCAGGGCAGCTCTGCCCAAAGCCCTGGTTAAAGTGCAGGTTCCGGTGCCAGGCTCACTGCAGGCAGCCCCAGGCATCTGCCTGCCTGGAGGAGTCTCAGCACGCTCACGCTGAGGATCTTGCCAAGCCAGGGTTCCTAGCAGGGGGACCTGCAGAGGGTGTAGGGAGTGAGAACCAGAACATCTACTTAGAAAACTTCCAGCGTAGCTCTTAAAGTACATTTGCAATTTATTTTTCTACACTGGGGATTGCGCGCAGGGCTTTGCTCATGCTAGGCAACCACTCTATCGCTGAGTTACATTCCCAGCCCGTTTCATCTTATTTGAGACATTCTATAAATTGGGTTGGGTTTCACAGGCCAGGGAGACAGCTCAGTAGAATGAGTGCTTGCCTGGCAAGTGCAGGGTCCTGAGTTCAATCCCCAGTACCACACACACACACATACAAAAGTGGGTTGGGTTTCAAATTAAGATTCTACTGCCTCAGCCTCCCAGGTTGCTGTAATTACAGGCATGTACCACTCATTGTACCTGGCTTGGAAATATTCTTTCTAACATATATAACATATTAGTATAGATACATACAGCTATCAAAAATATGCACATGTATGTATGCATGCATGTGAGCCAACATATTTTTACCAGTGGATTGTATGATTAAAAAAAACAAAAAACTAGGAGCATGCCCAGGCCAGGACCGATGCTGGCAGATCTCGCCCTGGCACTGACCCAGCAGGTGGTCGTGGCCAAGTCATGCTCCCTGTTGAGCCTCAGGTTGCCATATGAAGGCAGACTGAGAAGAGGTCTAGCCAGGGTGGCCAAGTGGGGGTACGTACCCAGGGGGCTTTATACGGTAGGGTTAACACTCAGGCGATGTAGAGGGATCCCACACTCTGCTTTGCTGGGCAGAGAGGAGGACAGGATGGAAGGCAGGAGACAGGGGAGAGGCCTGGAGCCCTGTGTGTGGAGCTGGGGTGCAGCCAGAGGGGAGAGTTAGTGCTGTCCTTCACCGGCCCCTGGGAAGCTGGCCTTTCCCTGGGGAACTTGGTGTACAGAAATAGTTGCCTGCTGACTTTTCTCAACTGAGCAGATCAAGGCTGCTGACCAGGATCCAAGAGCTCACGAGGCGGAAGGACAAACACAGACTGTCTGTCTGCAGAGGCCTTGGTTGTTCCCTCTTGGCTCTGGCTGTGGACAGAGAGGCTGACTTCCGCCCTGCCTGCCTGGTCCCCGTGTGTCCCCCGCCCCTGCTCTCTCTGGGCCTCAGTTTCCCACCTGCGGGAGAGGCCTCTGTGTGAGCCCCCACAAGGATGAGCTGTGTGTGCATCTTCGAATCCTCCACGGCCAGGAACTTTTGGGCTGTGCTGTGCCCGTGGCCTCGTCGGCTGTGTTTCCCAACCTGGCCCAGAGCGTGGCACAGAGAAGGTGCTGGGAAAGTGTCGGGAGCAGGAGGGGCAGAGGCAAAGGGAGATGAGAGGGCAGAGAGGAGAAGGTAGGAGAGCGATCGCCAAGGAGCCCCTCTCGGGCAGTGTTCCCTGCCTCCCTGTCCCTCCTAGTGCATCCCTGCAGCCAGGTGTGCTTCCTGGTGTGCTTTCCTCTCCCACAGAAGAAACTTCTAAGCTACACCTGGGATCGTGCACTGGGTCTGAACAGGGCTGGGGCAGCCAGCCTGGGTCTGCCCTCTGCAGTCCTGCACACCCTGACGTCATCATCACCCACCCCTGGCCACTCATACAGCCCTCCAGAAACCACTGCACTGTCAGGAAAGCACCTGGCAGGTATGGCCCCTCCTGCCCCTGCCTTTGCACTTGCTGGTTCCTTCTCAGCTATTGGTCTTTATTGGATCAAAGTCACAGAGCATAAATTTAACCACTTATAAGGGACCCATTCCTGACATTTGGTACATAGCGCTGGATGACCACCCCTTCTGTCCATTCTAAGACAGCCGCAGCCCCCCAAAGGAAACCCATGCCCATTGCAGTTACAGACCACCCTTCTCCCCCCAGCCGGTGGCAGACTCCCTTCTGCCTTCTGTCCTTGACTTGCCTAGCGTGGGCACGGCCTACGCGTGGAATCCTAAACTGGGTGGTTTTCTGTATCTGGCTTCTGTCATTTAACGTGATGTGCCCAGCTTCACCTCCTTGTGGTGTGGCCAGGGGCTTCTTTTTTTTGTTTCCCCCTTTCATTCCTTTTTATGGCCAACATTGCACAGCATGGAGACAGCAGGGCATGTTTACCCATTCATCTCTCGATGGATGCTTGGGCTCTTTCTTCCTTGCTGCTGTGGATGCGTGTGGGCCTGTATGTGTTTGAGCACTTGTGTTCAATTATTTGGGGAACTAAAATGATCCTTTTACCACCCCTTCACTGTCCTCCCGAATTCTTACCTGAGCGAGGATAGGCAAGGTTCCCAGGGACAGGGGCTTGTCGGCCGCCTCCTTCCCAACCCTCCTTGACCTGTGTTGGCTGGGCCTGGGCCTCCCCACATTTCCTCACCTGGACTCGTAGTCACTGGGTATCCTACCATGCCTTCCCCGGCTGTCAGTTCTCCTATGAGCTGGGCCTGTGCCCTGTACCCAGCACCCATGCACACAGCTGACCACACAGTGACATCAAACACTTGCTAGTCAACATGCCAGTCATTGGACACCTTATCCCTTGTCCTAGGCACTTTTAATATAGGGGAATGAAACTCCCAACCTGAAAGGTACCTGGGGCAAGTTCATGTTCTCAAAAACTGAAGAATGAATTTTAAGAACAAACAGAGATTAAGAGCACCATATATTTACTGGGGGAAAGAAAGCTTCTTCCAAGAGAGGGACAGAAAGGGACCCAAATGGGTTGCCAAGGAACCTGCTTTTCTAGAGATTTCTACAGAGCAAAACCACTTGGTGAGGCAGGTCCAAGGAGGGGGAAAATGGGAACACACAGGATGGGCATAGGATGGGACAAAACTATGGTGAATCAATAAGATTGTAAGCGTAATTGCTCAGGTAAAATTGATTAAATCAGAATCAAATGGAGAAGCCAGTCATGCAGCAAGTGGACATGAATACAGAATGGGCTGTTCCTGTAAGAGGTTCGGTTAGTAACTCTTCATGGCTTTTTCAAGGTGATTGATACCTATTTAGAATATCAATCCCTGATATCCATTTCTAGGGAGGACATTTGTTCAGTGTAGGTGGCTGCATTTGTTTAATCTTTTGTCTTGAGATCTGGCCCACAGAGGAGGTGCCTGTTTCTCCCACAGTTGCAAGGTATTTTGTCTTCCACATTGGTTCCTTTGAGGGCCCAGCCTTGTCTGACTGCCTCTAATATTTCTATCTAACTCAGCTGGCTGCAATAGTTTCATAGAACACTGGTCAGGGAGAGGCATGGTCATCTCAGTTTTACTGATAAAGGGAACAAGGGCCATGTGATGGCGATGGTCAGCAGTGGGCAGGGTGGAGCGGGCAGCTGAACCAGGACCATTGGCTTCCTGAGGCATTGCCGCTAACTTCTCGCTCTGAATGAAGGAGGCACCCCTAGGATTAATGCTGTCTGTCTGCTACCATGTCCCCTTCAGGTCACAGGCAGAATGGCTGACGCTGAGAGGAGCCGCGGGTGACTCTGGGGTGCCCAGCAGCAGCTCATTCTCCTGGAGATGAAGTGGCCCAGGTGAATGCCAGGCCCATGGCCAGCTCAGGGACAGAGGTGCACTGGGCCGGGCCGGGCCTGGGGAAGGGATCCCAGCGGCGACGCTGGGCCTGGGCCGAGGAGGAGAAGAGTGCCGATGGGAGTAGCGCTCATGGCTGGGGCGGTGAGCGGCCCTTCCGGGATGCTGCCAGCCCAGAACTCCTGGAGGACTTCCGCCTGGCCCAGCAGCATGCACCACCCCTGCAGTGGGGCCCAGACCCGCAGGAGCTGGGGGCATCTTCAGGAGAAGGTGAGCCTAACTCCCCCTCCCGTGCACTGGTGTCCTGTCCCCCAAGCACCTCACCTTCCAGCAGGGCAAGGGGACTTGGGGAAGCTTCCATTTCAGAATTAATTTCTACTAAGTCTATAACTTAAAATTCTAAAAGCTCTCAAATGCATAAATAATGCTGTTCAGTTCAAAAACCTAGAAAATACAAGCAAAAGAGATACAATGTAAGAACGCCTTAATATTCTATTCCAATAACGACTCTTCTCTATAGATAAAGTTGCAAATGCAATAGGAATAGGAACAGCGCTCCACACACTTCATGGCCACATGCTCTTTTGTTAACTTAGTAGACGGGAATGCTTTCCCGGGTCTCCAAATACTCTCCTGCAGGTCCTGCCTAACCTGCTGCATCCATCAACTCAGGGCCAGCCCACCACTGCTAGGAATGAAGATGGGTCGCTTCTAGTTTTTGCTCGGCTAATGCAGAGATGGATGTCACTGGTGCATTTTTACACACTTGATTTGGTAGTAACTTTGATCATTTGAATTGTTTTGTTCAGAAATTATAACCCATTTTAAAGATTTACTTTTTGAATTCCCATTTGGCAATGGAGACTGTCAGCATTCCGTGCTTTCTACAGTGACTGGGCTCTGTGCATGGATGGCTTAGACCACCACCCAGCTCTTCTTGGAAAAGCCTCTCTCCTCCCAGAATCTTGGCTCTCCCCTCCCCAGAAAAGGGGAGTAGTGACTGCACTGAGAAAAGTAAGAGCTTGATGGTGGGCGCTGTTGCTTTTAGATTATGAAGGAAACATCCCTGTTTCCAGACCTCGTGACTCAGCAGACCTGTGGAGATGGTATGGAGGCCACTAGGCTGGCAGTGATCGGCTTGTCACACACCTAATGTCCTTAAAGCAGGGCTTGCCCCAGTGGTCCCTTTGGTAGCATTTCTGAGCTCTCCGCCAGAGAATAGGGGCTGAGACACACTGGGGGACAGGGCGGAGGTGTCTCTGTCTGTGGTTACACTGTGCCCCCTGCTATGAAGTAACAGCTGCTCCCTGTCTTAGGCCCTTACTGGAAGTCCCACTCAGGGCTGGGCATGGCCATGCCTTCTTGCCCTCCCTCTGTACTACCCTGTCCAGGTAGGAGTTTGAGTAAGGCTGCCAGAGGCAGCAACTTGCTCATGGCCCAAGGCGAGGGGAGCTGGGGTGAATCAGAGGCTCTCTGGCAATTCACCCCACCATGATACTCCCATGGTAGAGACAGACTCACCTACAGGGCCACGGCTGGGTCCTAGGTCCAGGACTGCTGAACCACAGTGTGATCTTCCACAAGTTATTTAATATATCTGGGATTCAGGTATGCACTATCAACAAGTACATTGCAGAAGGAGATTTTCAGTCATGAAGGGTTGTAGAGGTGTCCAGGACAGGGGAAAGACCATGGCAGAGCAGTGGGCAACAGAAGGATTAGGACAAGTCTACATCTGATGTTACTCATCACATGTGTCCCATGAAACTTGGCATTTTTCTCAGAGGCCAATACAGGATCTAGTACAGAGTAGTTACAATAGGTGTGGCTGAATGTGAGAGGGACAGATGGACAGATGAGTGAGTGGGCAGGTAATGGATGGGAAGTGGATCAGAAGATAGTTGGGCAGATGGATGGATGGATGGATAAGTGGATGGGTAGATGGATGGATGGATGGATGAATGGACAGATGGGTAGGTGGATGGATGGATGGATGGATGGATGGATGGATGGATGGATGGATAAGTGGATGGGTAGGTGGATGGATGAATGGACGGATGGGAGGGTGGGTGGGTGGGTGGGTGGGTGGATGGATGGATGGATGGATGGATGGATGATGTGTGGATGGGTGGGTGGATGGATGGATGGATGGGTGGATGGATGGATGGATGGATGGGTAGATAGGTGGATGGATGGATGGATGGATGGATGGATAAGTGGATGGGTAGATGGATGGATGAATGGATGGATGGGAGGGTGGGTGGTTGGGTGGATGGATGGATGGATGGATGGATGATGTGTGGATGGGTGGGTGGATGGATGGATGGATGGGTAGATGGATGAATGGATGGATGGATGGGTGGATGGGTGGATAGGTGGATGGATGGATGGGTAGATGGAAGCTTGCATAGATGGATGGTTGGTGAACACTGCTTGAGCATCCACTGCGTAACAATTGTAACTCCCCATTTCTTGGGAGTTTATAGTCCTTCCTCCCTTCCTCCCTGCTTTCCTTCTTTCTGTAACATTGAGCACTTACTCTGAAAATGCTATAGTGAACCAAACCAATGGAGGTCCTCACCCTCCTGGAGCTTGTCATGGTGTAGACAAACATTAATGAAATAATCTACTGGACTGCTGCCATGGTGACAAGTGCTACAAAGTCAAGGTCTCCAGTCTCAGCAGACCTATATAAGGGAGAATGTGATTTAGTTAGGCAGCTCCAAGACCTTGCTGAGGTCAAGGTTAAGCTGTCGGATGAAGGACAGGGTTCATTGGGTGCAGTTGCTGGCAGAGGGAGGAGCCTGTGTACAGTGCTTGTGGTGGGAGGGAAGGTATGCACATGACCAGTGGGCTGGGGGAGAGACTGAGGGACCACAGGAAGAGACTGAATTATGGAGCTCATGGATCAGAGTAGCAGGGATGGTAGGACCATAGGAAAGGCTGGGCTTCTGACCTGGGACCAGCAGGAAGGTATTGGTGAGTTTCCAGATGAGGATGATAAGATGGTTAGGTGGCTACTGCAGTGGTCCAGGCACAAGGAGACAGTGGCTCGAGCATAGATGGGTGGAGGGCCTCAGACCAATGAGATAGTTTGAAAGCTCTGTCAGCAGGAAATGTGATGATGCCAGGTGACAAATTGTATTCGGGGGCCTGAGGGAGTAAGAGGAACAAGATGCTTCCCATGCTTGCATCTTGCAAAATGGCATTGCCATTTGCTGAGACAGGAGACACTAGGGTAGACGGGACTGGAGGTTTGAGTTTGGAGGCCCTTTGAGACCACGGAAAAGATATCACCTGAGTGGTTGACTGTCCAAGGGCTTCTCATGCTTCTTGCCATTGTCATGTGAGGAGGAAATGAAAGTCAAAGAGTTGAGGGGATTTTGGGTAACGATGCACAGTGAGTCCAGACCCAGTGCATGATCTGTCTTCCAGAGACTGAAGCAGAGGGTGTGGACAGCCCAGAAGACGTGGACAGCCCAGAAGATGTGGACAGCCCTGAAGACGTGGACAGCCCAGAAGATGTGGACAGCCCAGAAGATGTGGACAGCCCTGAAGATGTGGACAGCCCAGAAGGTTCTCCTCTGCCTCTCAGCTCGCCCCTCTGGCAAGACCATCAATCGGACGTGACCAAAAAAGAGCCACATATGGCCCCCACAAATCCCAAGGTTGAAGAAACCCAAAAAAGCTCCCTAATGTTGGGGTTGGAGGTTGACCCCAACACAAAGGACCATGGAAGCACCAGCCCCCTGGATGTAGGGTGGGGTCAGGCCAGAGGCTGGTTGGCCTCTAACATAGCTGCCAATGGAAACAAGCCTGCTGAACATTCTGAGGTCAACCCATCTGTGGAACTCAACTTGGCCAGGTCCTGGAGCAGTGGGACTGTGAGCCTGAGCCACCCTAGTGACAGCCTTGATTCTACCTGGGAAGGAGAGACTGATGTCCCTCCTGCCACTACCCTGGCAGAAATCCTGCCACAGTACCCAAGCCCTCACCTCCTACACCCAGATGACAGAATCAGAGATGGTGTTGCCCAGGAGACACCCTCAGAATTCCAGGGCAACTCAGCTCCGCCAGCCCGGAGTCCCCAGCACGATGCAGGTAGATGGAGGACAGAGTCTACCAACCTGCCTAGCTCACAGCTCGAGGACCAAACCTGGAAGCGGACAAAGACAACACCTAAGCCACTGCCCTCCCGGTTCTCTGGCTCCAGCAGCCCTCTGAATCCTCGGCCTAGGCCGGCCCCGAAAGATAGATTGCAGCCCAGGCGGGGGACTACTCTGGCTGGTCGCTCTTCTTCTGATGCCCCCAAGTATGGCCGGGGGCAGCTGAACTACCCACTCCCTGATTTCTCCAAGGTGGGGCCCCGGGTGAGGTTCCCCAAAGATGAGTGCTACCAACCCCCCAAGTCCAAGAGCCACAGCAGACAGCCTCAGGGCCCTGTTGGACCCCTGGTCTTCAAGTCACCGGCTGAGATTGTTCGAGAGGTCCTGCTGAGTAATGGAGAAGTGTCCCTGGCCAAGGACACACCCATGACCCGGGTGCCCCAGGAGTTCCAGACACCTGAGCAAGCCACAGAGCTGGTCCATCAGCTCCAGGTGAGCGGGACTCCTGTCTTTGGGTGTGTTGCCCTAGGACAGAGCCAGGCAAGGGTGGGAGGCCCAGGGACTAGGCCGGGCCAGGAGCCCCCATCTGGTGGACGGAGGGAGGGTCTTTGGGAGCCAGGAGATAAACCCAATAATTTAGCTCAAGTTTAGACAATGCTCTGTTTCCAACTTCTGTTAAAAAATTCAAACATATTTAGGATGGCAAGTAGTGTACTGATGGCCCACGCCTGCTCCAGGCCTTGCCCTCCTCCATGCTGTGCAGCCCCTGGCAGCTGCTTTCCCATCTGCCTGAACTCACTCTCCAGGGCCCCCACTGGATTATTTTGCAGGCCTATCTGAGGCAGTCCATGATTTTATATTTTAGTGTGTCTAGTGAGGACCTTATCTCAGACATAGCCACCCCAACATCATCACCTCTGAGGCTGTGCCTGTCTACTGTACTATCAAGTCCCACAGATATCACAGGGGCCCTTGAGGAGGCCCAGACCCTGCGGGGCTGCTGGTGCATGGCCCCTGATGCTCATCGGCACATCCAGGCCTCACTGAGGTGAAGAGATAGCAGTGTTCTGCCATCACTCCTCCTGCCTTCCCTGCTACTGGCCTTGCCAGGAGTAGAACCTTTCCTCATCCCCTCAGGTCTTGTTCATGCAGGAAGGGCAGGAGAGATGCCTGTTCTGGCTGTTTAATTACACATCTCTGCATTGCGGAGTGAGTTCGCTGACCTCCTTGAAAGGTAGCCGGTGCCATTTGTGTTTGCTCTTTCCCTGGAATGACTTGTTTTAATGAAACGCTGGGTTTGTTTAAGGCTAGTGATTCTGAGTAGATGAACCTGATCCAGGGAACCTCCAAGTGACACAAGGAGAAAAACTGATCTCGGGGTGGGTGACCTCAAAATGATGTAAGGGAAAAATGATCTCCCAACCTAAAAAGTACCTGGGACGAGTTCGAGTTCTCTAAAACTGAAGAATGAATTTGAGGAACAAATGGAGGTTATAAGCCGAATAGATTTATTACGGGGGAAAGAAAGCTCCTGTCTGAGAGAGGGACAGGAGGGGGGCCTGAGTGGGTTGTCCCTGGGAAGCTGTCTCTTCCAGGGACTTTTATAGAGGAAAACCATGCGGTAAGGCAGGTCTAAGGTGGTAAAGAATATGGAAACTCACTTAGGTAGGCATGAGGTGGGATAAAACTATGGTCAACCAATGGGATTACAAGCACCATTGCTCAGGTAAAATTGATTAAATCCAGGACCAAATGGGGAAGGGAGTCACGTAGCAAGTGGGCATGAATATAAAACAGGACTTTATCAGGTAGCCATCCAGTAGTAGTCGGATTAATGATTCTTCTGGCTCCCTCAGGGTGATGATCAATCTCGGATGCCAATCTTTAGGGAGGTCGGCATTCGTTTGATCTTTGGTTTTTAGGTCTGGCCCACAGCGGGAGCAGTTGTAAGGTATCTTGTCTTCTGTGTTACCTCCTTTGAGGGCCTGGCCCTGTCTAACTGTCTTTAATATTTCTGTCTAACTCAGCTGCCTGCCACAAACCTACTGAGGGGGCCCCCTCACCTGTGACTCCCTCAGCAATTAGAAAATACTTGTTTGTTTGTTTGTTTGTTTGTTTGTTTTTCTCCCCTTTGGCTTTTTGAGACAGGGTCTTACCATGCAGTTCTGCTGGCCTTGAACTCACTATGTAGCCCAGGCTGGCTTTGGACTTATGGTGATCTTCCTGCCTTAGCCTCCTGAATACAGGGATTACAGGCATGCGCCTCTATGCCTGGTCATGAAAAATATTTTTACAATCACATGCCACAAAAGCAGTGGGAATGGGGTACAGTGAGAGGGGCAGATGTGAGAGACTTCCTGCAAGGACCACAGAGGACTTGCCCAGCAGCCGGAGGCTCTGCTCCAGAATGCCTGCTGAGAAACTCTCACTCTGAAGAAGCCAGAAGCTGCTGGCTGGGCGGCTCGTGGTGAGGGGCACACTGCGAGCCTGGCACGATCACCTTGCTCTGTGTTCCCACAGGAGGACTACCACAAGCTCCTCACCAAGTATGCTGAGGCTGAGAACACCATCGACCAGCTGCGCCTCGGGGCCAAGGTACTGGGCTGGGCTGGGCGTCCCCGAAGGTGGCTTTCTTCCGTAGTCCTAGGGAGAGGCCACCACCTTCTGCATGTGTGGAGGCCCAGTGCTCCCTCCCCACGGGCCTTTCTGTGATGTGTGCTCAGCTCCTGGTGCCACTTCCAGGTTGTCCCTCTCCTCCATAGCCTCTCCCCACAGGTGTGACAGGAGGGGTGGGTGGTTCATCTCAGGACCACCCAGCCATTATGGGAGGTGGCTTAGAAGGCTGCTCTTGGGACCTTCCTCCTTCTGGGTGAGGCAGGAAGGGGAACCTGTTGGGCCCCTGCAGCTTCCTGCTTCCCCCATCCTCCCCTCTCCCTCTGGTGGCTGTGGAGGAGGGGTGGTGGCTGAGGGTTGCCTTCCTGCTCCCAGACCCTGCCACCTCCTAGGCAAGCCCACCTTCCAAGGACCACTCTCCGGGTCTAGAGGCTCCTCCCTGGAGTGTTGCTGGGGCAGCCATGGTGAGAACATGGAAGGAGTCCTGTGCTGGTACCCTCCTGCCTCAGCCCCCCAGAGTGCTGGGACTCCAGGCCTGCACTGCTGTGGGGAGGCCTGTTCTAGGACCAAGACTGCTCCTCTGTCCTCACACCTGCCTCCTACTGGGCACATCTGTGAGAAGAGCTTCCACAGACCTGTAGGCTCCCCAGATGACAGAGGAGAAAGGAGCTGGCATCAGACACAAACCCTTCAACAACCCTGTCTTACAGATTGAGAAACGGACCCAGCTGGGGCTAGAACTGCTGAAGGGTGGGGGGCGAGGGCTGCAGCATCTCCAGTCTCTACCTTCTCTCCTCCCTCTTCAATTAAGGAGCAGGGAAGGAAGGCACTGGCTTGGCCCACCGCAGAAGTCACTGGTGCAAAGCCCTGTTGATGCTCTTTGTGTACCAGCACGGGCCACATGGCCACCTGGGGAGACAGGACCTCCTCTCCTGCAGCTTCCCAGCCTGAGGACTCCCCATGGGCTCTGGGGGCCTGGCTGGTACCCAGAGCCCAACTTACTTGTGAGGGGTTCCAAGGAGGGAGAGGGTGGAAATGACTCCATAGAGCCAGCTCCCTTGCTTCCCCAGTGAAAGAACAAAGGGACGCACAGCTGCACACAGGACCGTGCTCTGCCAGCCCCATCTCACAGCCACCCCAAGGAGCAGAGGACAGGGCCCAGTGAGGAAAGGTCAGGCTGCAGCTCACAGGGCCCCGTGGAGCCCAGAGTCCTTGCTCTGGAGGCCCTGCCCTCTGCCCTGAATGCTCAGGGGACCCCAGAAGGCAGCTTCTGTGGGAGCCCCTTCACAAGATACCCCTAAGCTGAACAGCAGATGTAACATTGCAGAGACCTATAGAGCCCCTTTGCCCTGCTTGGTACCCCCGGAGGCTGCCCCACCCCCAAGAGGTTGGGAGAACAGGGCTTGGTGGGGACCACAGGAAGGAGATATGGCCAAGCAGATCAGAAGCACCGGGCTAGGCCACTGTCATCTCCTGGGGTCCCCTGCACCTACAGAGCTGAGGCTGAGTCAGGTGGGGTTTGCTGCATACCCAAACCCATGTGCCTACTGACTGCCAAGCGGGCGCTCCTCCCCCAGCCTAGCCATGCACTGTCTGGGGCACTGGTGTAGGGACAAGGCTGGTTACAGAGAGCAGAGTGGCAGGCAAGCTGACTGCTGTCTGAAGTGACTTACAGCTAGGCACAGAGGCCTCAGGAGACTTGCCCAGGGTCACTCAGCACGTGGGAACCCAACTGGAGCAAGGCCTAACATGGTGGCCGCAGAGCCCTCTCCTCACGCCTTGCTGCAAGAGCCAGACAGTGGCCAGGGCCCTGCCTAGGAACATGGTGGACTCAGGGTGGGGGCCCAGCGCTGGACCAGGGAGCCCTTAGGGGGTGGGAGACCCTGGGCAGGAACCCAGTCAGGGGTTGCTGGTGGGCTCTGGGCTCCATGCAGGCCACTGGGCAGTTTAGGGTGAAGTCACTATATTCACTACCCTGCCCCTGTCTCCCCTCCCCCTTGTCTTCATCTGAGCTGCAGGGGGCTGTGGAAGGACCCAGGTGACCGAGACTGGGGCTGGGGGACCACAAGGCCAACTTTCCCCGAGTGTGTTCTGGCCGCCTCACTGCATTCCCCCCAGGGTCTAGAAGCCCTGGTGGGCTGGAGGAGGCTTCCGTGGTGCTGAGTTGAGGATCCGCCCCTCCTCGCCCCTCTTCCCCTCCTGCCCCATTCATAATGCCCATTAGCATTTTAAAGGCTGAGAGAAGCCCATCTGTGCCGAGAATACTCATTTGTTTAACCCAGTGTTGCCTGCTCCAGACCTCCAATGGAGCTGAGCTGGAGCTGCAGGGACCCCCTGCCCCGGCATGGCTCCAGCTCTGTGGGGAGAGGGTCCAGCCGAGCAGTTCAGCAGCTGCCCCTCTATTACCCATTGTGGCTCTCTGCATCTGCCCAGGCCTAGGGCCTCTGCTTCAAGCTCCTATTTGATCCTAAAACAGAGGGAGGGGCCTCTGCCCTCCGGGGCCCATCCCTGCTTACTGCCTGTTTCACTGCAGTCCAGGTGGGGCCTGGGGCAGACAAGGTGGGGCCTGGGGCAGAGAGAGGGGGGCCTCCCCTGGGATTTGGGTCACCTTGGGCCCCTCAGGGTACTGACAGGCAGCCTCCCAGAGGCAGTCTGAGCAGATGGCCAAAGGGATTATTAAAATCCAGCTTTGTTCTACTTGGTGAGGCTCAGTAGCAGGAGGAGGAGCATGGCCAAATCACAGCTGGAGTAGATTTTTCCCCACAGCTGGGTCCTGAAGAGCAGCCTAGCCAGGAGAGGCTGCTTGCTGGGCACCTGGGAGTCCTTGGGGCAGCCCAGCCTTTGCTGCCTGGTCCTGCCCTTGGGGCTGCAGGGAGTGGACAGCATAGCCTCCCTGAAGTCATCCTGAGGCGCCAAATCACCCCTGGAGTGTGGCTTTTCTGTGCAGCTGCCCCATGGTGTCCATAGAAATGATAATCACTATGATGGTGGTGATGCAGCTGAGGGTGAGGGTGAGGGTGATGATGGTGGAGTGGATGGTGGTGATGGTGATACAGTGACTCAGATGGTGATGGCAGTGACAGTGAGTGTGAAGACAGTGGCTGCTATTTACTGAGCTCTTACATCATGACCACTCTGAGCTGCTCCAGGACTTGGGTGTGTGCTGCTAGAGCCGAGATGGCAAGGCAGGCCCTGACTGCAGCCCCACCACTAAGCCAAACCCGGTAAACTCCCTAAAGAGCCAGGCAGGGCCTTTACTGCGGCATGGCGCCTCTGGTCTCTTTCACGTCTCCTCAGCTCTGCTGCTTTAGAGCAAAAGCCGCCATGGACAGCACCTGGACAGGCAGGAGCTGAGGAGTCCTATGACACCCCGCGTACAAGTGCAGAGCACGGTTCTAGCCTCTGCTCTCAGACCATGCAGCCCTCCAGGGGGACGTGGGCTCCTGCAGCCCTCCAGGCTGCCTGCCCCGCACAGACTGCACTGGCGCAAAGCTGCTGCTCATGCTGTCCCATCCAGCCGCAAGAAGGGCCTCATCTGCTCGCTTGCAGGAGCTCCATTCGGGCAGCTATTTACTGCTGCTGATTATCGTATAATAATTCTTTTTTTTTTTTTTTT